AATAAAATAATATAATTTCCAACAAACACTTTTATTTGTATAATTATGTGCCGCTGCGGGCATTGTAGGCGTGCAGATTTCAATATTCTTGCGTTTCTACGTTTTAGATTTCATATCAATAATAGCTATGTAACACACATGTTGTATGCTTGTATGCTTAAGCAACACATGGCGAATGATGACACGGCAACAACATGTCACTGTGTAGTCAAATGAGCAAAACTTAACCCACGCGTGCGTGGTTGCTTAAGAGGAAAATAAAAGAAACTTAATGGAAGTCAGGCTTGTGCAGCACAGCTCATCATGAACCGGCTCGAACGCCGCACGATGATATCATGTRCGCGAATATTATGTTTGGTACACTTTTTTGGCATTATTTAGCACTTAAAATATATACGAGCAATCTACAAAATGTATAAAATATATTAAAAGAAAACAACAACGTACAGCTTGCAGTGGACACTGGTCGCTTGCGTGGTTAAACGCTGCGCGCGCCCTAAACTCTGTCAGCGACCACGCAAAACGTTCAATAAAAAAACAAAAAAAAAACTGCCCAATTTTGGTAGTTACGAGCATCTGCTGCCAGAGTTTTGCTTATCTACCATGAAATACAGCCACCCACCTACGGCAGCTGTTGCTATTTACCTAGCTATTACACATAGCATACATGTATGTGTGTGTATGTGTTATATGCAAAGCATTTTTCCAGTTTTTTGCTGTTTTCTTTTCATATTTCTATTAACTAACCAACAGAACTTTGTCCTAAATTAAGCATATTTGGCAACTTTCTTGTCCAAATCTGTGCCCGTTTATTGCAAACTATAAGAAAATACCGTTAATGTGTGACTATGGCACTATTTTTACGTTACTATTCGACTAAGCTGAGTTCGTTGAACTTCATGTGAATAGGCTGGTGTTTCAAATAAAATTTTACTAAATTGKCTGAACCAGGGATCTTTATCACTTCTGTCGGCGACGGGGGCTGTAGAATGTTACAGCAACGATTGTAGATGGATTTACTGTTTGTTGTTGTTTTTGTAGCGGCAGAAAACATTTCTRTATTCTAATTTCGAGAAATGTTGCGGAGTTGGCAGTTTTCGGTCGGACAAAATTCCGTCTTTCTATATAAGTTTCAGAGATATCGATTTGAAATTGTGTACACATTCTTTCTTCCCTAAGAAGCAGCCCCTACGGCGAAACCGCCGGTATAGGACCACTGTAGGTTTTAGCTGACATATGGAAAGCTTTTTCTTTTCACGAGATATCTTTACGATACGTTGTTGCCTATGGCAATCTTATAATCTCCCATAGCTTCCATGCTAGCTGCCCGAAAAAGGCCTTTGTAATGAATATTTTGTATTTGTGAAGGGTTGTTGTTATTGTAACGGTTACCTAATCCCTGTTAGATTGGTAAAGATTAGGTAAGCCCAATAAACGTGTAGTTTCGACAGCGTCGGACCAAGGCGACATCAAAGGGTATCAGATGAGTAGGGTTAGCAGGGTAAGCAAAGAGATGGCCAGTGTCAAGCGGGGACTCATTGCACGCTGGACATTGTATATTATCTAAGTCGGGGTCTATTCTGGATAAGTACAAATTTGCTACAATATTCAAAACGAAGCTACGCAAGGGATTCCCGCGGCAATTCGAGCATTTCGTCTGCAATGGGTGGTGGTTTGACTCCAAGTATACCATACACTGAGAGGGAGTCGGTGCAGGTGTTGATGACTCCACTGTGAATGGCGGTTAGAGCTAGTCGGAAGTTARTTGCGTACGAAGACTGGTCGGCGTATTGTTTGATATYGTCGACGTTATTGAAGAATGACCTCTTGATGCTCCTAGCAGGCGGTTTCGCTCCAAGCAGGTGACTGCAGGGATGATTTATGCTACGTAATTGGGAACATACGAGCCGCACTATACAGCTGTTCGCATCCAAACGTAGTTTCATTGCATTCAGGCGACAAAATTGGTGCAGYGTAATTAAGAAACGGGAGTTTTAACGCCATCGACTGCAATATTTAGGCAAAGTCTGTACTCCTTCGTCCAGTTTGTGAATATAGTCGGTGTGGGTTTGGTGGGGAAGAATGTTAATTCAGTGCAGCGTGAAAGCGAGAAAGGTCGGAGAGATAGCCGTTTACCTTGTTTTGTTATTTGTGAAGGGTAAATTAATGATTTTAAATAATTAAAAGTTCATTAAATTTTAATATCACCCCAACAAAATACTTTATCTTATAAAAATAAACTTGGTWTGAATTTTGACTAAATCTCTAATCAGATTCCAATTGGACCAGTGATGCCAAGGGATAAAATCATATATCTGATAAGACATAAATTCAAGTGAAATTTTCTATAAGGCTTTATTTATTTTCTTTTAGGAATATTCCTCTTGGTTACAAAAAAAACTAACAAAGTAAATGTATGTATCAAACCATTAAATCCAAAACTAAGGAATTGCTTAATGGCAGAAGCCTAGCTACAACAAACTAGCCACCGCAATAAATTCCAAATTCGATTGCTGATGGAGATAAAAGGTGAAATAGCCTAAATGCAAATGCGTAAGCGTGTGCCAAAGTGTTAACACTTTATTTTTTATGGTTTGCACAATCTGGCCGAATTAAAAGCCGCACATCTTTAACATTTTCACAACGCATTTTATATTAAGCACACACACAGTAGCTGGCACATCAATATCTACACAAACTGCTTGAAGTTTTGTTATTGATTTATTTCGTGTGATGCACTTGGAAAAGGCCGTGAAACTTTAAGCGTGTTATTTTTTGTCTATCTGGTGCATTTAGAGATAAGACGCCTACTGATAGAAAGCGGATACACACGTACCCAATAATATGGATGGTAAGACACAAACTAGAGGGGCACTTAACAGAATATAGGTAAATAAACACATATATATTTGTGCGTTTAATRAACTTTAAGAGTTTGACTTAAACTAAATGAAAAGCACTTAAGCGTTTGGCTTATCGTGCCGTGATTTCGTAATGTACGTAAGTATTTTTAAAATTTTTTTAGACGTTAGGGGTAATAAGAATTTTAAACAATCGATTTTTTTTTTTGTAGTTTTTAGTATCATTTCTTAGAAATCGTGTTATACGATATTTAGCAAAGGCCTTCTGATGGGTTCTGGTATGGTCCTCTGGCAGATAGTAGCAGTTGAGTACTATTTTGCGGAAATTGTGTGGAAAGGTACAAAAGAGGTTTCTCTAAAAATTGCTCGGTAKATATCAATTAAATTTATACAGCTTTTTGAAAACATGAAAAATAGCCCTTTAATGTCGAAAACAGCTGATTCTTCTACTAGCACTCAATGAAACTAAAACGCCATACAAAAAGTTCATTCATAAGTGTTAACAAGACACTTACAAAATCATACATAAATTAAACACTTCCAAATCCAGTGTCACTTATCATATTTCCACGTTTATAAGTAACTTATGTATTCAAAATTTACTTTTGTCGCACTCACCTTTTTCATGATGCCGGTTTTGCGTTTGGAAAATGTCGTATATCTACGCAATTTATTATCAATATATTCCATTTTGATTTTGACTCGCCCTTTTGTCTTCTTGCCGTTAGCAGGAGGTGACTTTTTGTTTTGCAACGCAGTATAACTATCGTCCACCACATCCGGCACATTGCCACTCACTTGACTCTGCTGCTGTTGTTGTTGTTGCTGCTGCTGTTGTGCACTTTGTTGCGCGCTACCGCCAACACAATCGAGTCCTTGCAACGATTGTGTTGACATACCCGTAGTACTACTACTACGATGATGATCTTCATAACAATCGGAACCAGCACGTTTGATGCCGCGCTGTTGACTTGAATGGCCACCTGTACTRTTGCCAGCACCGCTAACCAACGATTGACACTGTGTACTGTTGGGCATRAGACCGCTAGCACGGGAACTGAATCCTACACCGGCACCACCACCCATAGGCTGTATGAGGCCACCTGATGGTGGACGACCGCCAAGCGCACTAACAGTCGCTGGATTACCACCATATAAGTCGGCTTGATCGGCCAAACTGAGGCCGATGCCGCTCATAGGATAGTTGAGGTTGTAGCGCGAGTCACCTCGCGTAGGATCCATTCTAAGGTAGAAGTTCTCCACCGTGACGAATTTATGTTTACACCTTTAATAAATAACACGAACACACACACTTGGCAGCAACTGCTGTTTGTAAAGCGGTTGCTTGTAAACGCTGTGGCACTGTGGTTGTTATTGCCGTAGGATTTTGATATGCCGTAAACGGCAGCTGTTAGCAGGAGGAACACTTGCGCTTTAATAGACRATATCAAACAGCACAGMACGGCTCGTCACTGCAAACCTCAACACTTCAATATATAGTAATATCACTTTCTCATTCGTTTCAACACTAAATTGAATCAAATTCGTATATATGCAGAGTAAACACGGGAATGTGTGTGCTCTTAATGGTGCCTTTTGTGGCCTGTACAAAACAGCAAACACTTGAATTCCAAAAATAAACACAAAAACGCACTTTTGACACTTTTTGAGGGAATCTCGGATCGTATTAGAATCGAATCGGACACCACACACAATAAGAAGGCGACGAGACAGCTGCACGCAACTGTCAAATTAACGCATGTGGCTCGTCCAATTTGCTTGCACACTTAAAAGACGACGGAACACACAGGTAACGTGCACGTCGCGCAGAGATTGCGATTCCTATTTTTAATTTCAACCAATTTTTTAACTAAATGTAACACAAATTCCAAACGGAATGCACCGTCGAAAATTTGGCAGTCCGGACTATTGGTCTATTACTTTTCTTCGATTTCTTTTAGCTGCGGCGACTAAACGCTTGTCAGAATCAACAAATGTCAAACTATAAATGGCTCGCTCTCCTCCTCTCTCTCACTATCGCTCTGCTTTCTACACAGTTRTTGTTGCTGTCAGCTCTTTTGACGCTGTCAATTGCTTTCAATGCTGTTTCAGTGTTGCAAAATGCGTGATTTTATCATAAAATTGTTGCCACAGTGTTGTAGTAATTGTTTTTTTTTTGGTTGTTGTAGAATTTCACCAAATTATGATAAAGTTGTTTAACTGCTTTTTATGGTCAAGAACTTTTTTAATTATCCACCATAAATGTTAATATTTTGCTGATTACTGCTGTTGCCGCTGCTGCACTTGCTGCCACTGCTATAAATTGCTATAATCCAAACGCCGTTCCGCCAACTGATAAGGAGTGCTATTACCACTTATGTACGCTCGCTTGTTGTGGCAAAAAATACGTAAACTGCGGAAATATATCGCTTGTAACAGACAAATATGAAATTATCTATGCGTTTATGTCGTTATTGCGACCACCTTGATGTTCTCTAGATGGAGGCGCGCTACCGAATAAACTCGCTTTCGATCGCGTCACACAGCACCACCGTGTTTTATTTTTCCTTATTTCACTACACCAAACTGGAGAGCTCCAACGCTGTTGTGTCGACAAATAAAGCACACACACGTAAAGCAATATTGTTGGAGCGCCAGCTTGACAACAGGCCAGCCGGAGCGCCGCCACACAGCTCATTCGTTTTGGAGCGCACGCGTCTTAATTTTACTCTTACTTTGAAAACAAGCATACTCATTGTCCATCAGTATTGGAGATTTTACCTGTGTGGAGACTTAATTGCTTTACTCTTTCAAGTCGCAAACTGAGTTTCCATTCGCTAGCTAACTGCTTTATTGTCGCTCCGCTCAGTGGTGTTGTGGTGCGCGCTTCATTCATGGCATGACATTGTTTTTGTTTTCGTGCATTCGTTTTCTTATGCGCTTTTTTGGTATTGGTTTCTCTTTTGGCATTCACGAATATTCAAAGCGTTCAAGCCAGACTTTAATTAACTATTACTGCCAATGAAGGCCTTATCTTTCACAATACAACAGCACCAATACAAACGCGCGCGTCACATTGACAGTTGTGTGTAGTGTCTAAGGCGCGAGCTCGCGCCCGATTTTGATTTGATTTGTAAATTTATATATGCACACACACATATATTTATGCGTGCGGGCGCTTTACACATGAGTGGCAGGCAACAACAAAAATGAAAAAAAGCAGAAATCATAACTTCGGCTCAGACATTTACGGTGCTATTGGTTGATCGCTGGCAAACTCCTCCCATTGTAGGAATGCCGCGCGCGGCGTCGCGTACGCCGCTTTGYATTAGACATTATTATGAGTGATTGCGCTTGGAGACAAGTGTCTGAGTGACGCGCCCCATATGCAAATGGTTGTCAGCAATTTTTCATATTTACACTTGGCGCAAAGGAAATGATTACCGTAATTTTAGCGTTTTATTTACACGTTTATTAAATGTGGTTAAAGCCTTTATTAAAGCGCGCTGCTTAGCTTTATGACACATGTGGTTATACACACATACAAACATAGTTGTATATGTACCGTTATGTGCAGGAAAATCGTGTATTGGTAAAAATTTTGAAATAATTTATTTTATTCTAGTTACGGATCAACTAAGTAGACCATATTTAGCGTTTTTGTAGGTGTTCGAGCGTGTGGAATCCGTCTAAAAGGAACATTGTTGTCACAACGATGCGYAAAATGTCGATCATAGCCAAATTAAAAGAGCACCTGCAATTAGATATGGCAAACGACACACGTGATTGTGCCGATATAGTTACAATTTATGGGTGAATACTAGCGACATGTGCACCAATATGTCATGCAAGCGATTGGATAGACAGTGACTGGCAAAAATGCACACTTAAGAGATTACGCAAGGTGATTTTTTAAAGTGATTTAAAAATCCGAAGTATAGAAATATCTTTTCAACTGTTTTTGGGTTAAGAAAATCATTTCTATCATGTTCTAGATTTATTAGATCAAGGACCTATATTTTTCTGTTGGTTTCGCTTGATTACCAAATAAGCGCAACTTCAGAGCCGATATTTTGGAATCTACAAATGTACTGAGCGAGTAATTAGAGGAAAAATCGAGCCAAATACATCTACTTGATTCTTGAGAGATCAACTTACTAGTGGTAACGGAACCGTGGCGAAACCATTGCACTCCAAAAAGCCTGAGCTCGAACAGTATTTGTTTKGTTTAGAGCGTTATATATTTTCTTTAAGACTGGATTTTTAAATGAAAAATGTAGTCTAGAATATTTTGGTCTAGAATTTAATATTGGATCGAACCTTGACTTTTACAAAATAACTCCGAGGAATGCGGGCCAATCACTGGACCTTGGCTTGAACCCAGTTCAGCCCGACAGTCCTTGGCGAAACGCCAAATTTTTAAGTCTATTGGATTTTCAGATTAAAAATTTAGTTGGATTTTCGAATTTTTCAGACCGGCTTATAGAATTGAACCTCGTCTTTCTCAAAATAACTTTGAGGAATGTTGTCCAATCGCTGATCCTTGGYTCGAACCCAATCCAGCSTGACAATCCTTGGCGAAACGCCAAATTTGATCCAGTTATGGAGCAAGTTAGCAGTCTTTATGTTCGGGAAATCAAAGATGTACTCTCTTAGACCAAATCGGCTGACCTTTCGCTCATTTCTACTATCAGCTGAGCTGCTGGTAAACATTCCCAGTCCAGTCCGACAGTTCTTGGCGAAACACCGAATTCGCGCCGGCTTCGTAAAGTTAGATAGCAGTCTTTAGGTTCGGAAAATCAAAGACGTACTCTTCTGGACCAAATCTTCTGAGCTTTCGCTCCTTTCTATGATCAGCTGTGCCTGCTGGTAGACATTTTGTAAGTTACTGTTTATTGCGGCAGACATTAAGTAGTTGCATGTCTGTAGTACAACTGGAATCAGATGTGTATAAGAGACAGGCGTCGCGTACGCCGCTTTGCATTAGACATTAT